TTTGTTGCTTTCTACTTCGATATGGATTTTAGACACAACTGCAGTCTCCTGTGCAATTGCTAACGGACTTACAAAGAACTGAATGTCTAACGGAATAGAGACACGAAGAGTTTATGGCAGAACATCAAGTCTCTCTGCAACACAATGCAAACAGGATTTATGCTTAATCTGAATAAACTGCTACGCTTTGAAACCAACAACAGAATGGCGTGTGAGATTATTGTACCTTTGACGGTCCAAGCAGATACGCCTGCACAGTTCACTGTGAATCATATCCGTATCCTTCTTTCCCATCTTCGTTACCACGTTATTCCGGGTCTCGATGGTGTGAGATCCCAAGTGCTTATGCTACATTCAGCGTAACTCAGCAAAATTTTGAAGGGGCTCCTCAACTGCCGCTTTCGCTACGCACGGATTCCCAATCACTGGCTAATTACATCAGTTCCTCCGGTGTCTAAAGGAGTTCAGCGATTGCAGATGTAGACTCCTTTTGGCCAGTTGCCATCATGCATATCCTCTTTAAAAGCTTATAGAGTTTAATTCTGCCATTCTTGCACGAGAAGTTAAAAAACAACATCGGCCCATGCAGTTCGAAAGGGACTCGGAACCGACGACGCCATCGCCTGTATCACAAACGAAGTTAGGAAAGAGTTGTACAAGGTAAAGCGAACCCATCGAATAATTTTCCTCGTTGATCTCTCGTCAGCGTTCAACACAGTCCCTCATGAGAACTCTTGCAGAAATCGTTTCACTCGCTATCAACCATTCTGTCATACAGTGGCCTGCTAACCACTTCACCCGTCGCAGTCGGCCGGAAAAAGTCCGACTTAATGCCAAACAATTTGGATGTCGTGCAGGTCTGGGTCCTTTTACCCTTGTTGTTTAACATTACTCTAATATTCCTCTCAGATTTGCCAGATATGCTGATGACACTGTCGTCTTAAGTTCCCAAAAATCCCTGAAGATGGGACACTTGCATTATAAGCAACAGTATATTTGCCATATAGTGATGCTTCACCTCTAATGAGCTTACCAGAAATAAATCTGCGTAATGCGCAACATACGAGACCTTGCACTCCCAAATTTATCGACCCCGGAAACTGCTGACCAGCCAATAACCCCAGTACGATACGTCAGGTACTTGGGAGTGCTCTATTATCTGATTTTCTCTGGCACCAGCATGTTCAGTCAGTGATGAATCATTTCTGTAGAGCAGCGTTCATTGCGAAAAGATTAAGGTGCTGCCATCTTTGCATGCTCCGAGAATGGCCGTTAAAGCAGTTGTATATGCCCGCATCTTTCCCCGCACTCGCACGCAGCGGTCGTCTTCATTCCCCTACAAGCATCTGACTTTAAGGCAATAAATTGATCACTGAAGATTGTTTTTGACTCAAAGTGGTCTTCCCTAAAAGACTTGGCATTACAAGTGACTGAACCTGTAGTGTCGCAGGGCATGCATATGGAGAACACCATCTTCAAGTACCCAACCCATTCACTTCATGAATACCTCGCTTAGTGTTTGTTGGGCACCAACAGCAAGAGATATAGGTTTGTGAACATCGCTTCCTGGACGTAGCTTTACTGGAAGACCAGTGCCCCAGCAACAGGGCGCATCCTCAGGAACTCCAATACAGTAAGGCAGCATTGCACGACCACGCTTAAAGTGGTATAGTTCACTTTCGATGCGGCCATTTTACTTTGATAATGGTTCCATCGAATTCCTCTCCTTACAGAATTTCTTTGTCGTTCATTATGACGTAGTTCAGTGCTGACAAGTGATATTCTATTGTGACTTCATTTAAAGGGACTTTCAGACTTCAAACAAATATTTTGCAGGTACGTATATCCGGAGTTCCATTAGTTCACCCTTGCAAATAGCAAAACGTGCTGCAACATCAGTAACTACCGGTGTTGCAGTGCCAACGTAGTGGCCACTTTACTGCGGAGGATAAAAGCACGTTCTTGGCACATTGAGTTACTCGTGATCTAGTAGTGGAACAGAGATTGGATGCCATAGAGTAGGCCGACCAGACTAATTGGGTCGATGGCACAATTCTCTCAGAATTAAGTAGTAGGATCGTCCTCCCTCCAGTACTTTTGATAACCTGTCATAATTTTTTTATATTATATTTTGGGGCCGTTTTAACAAATCAAGGTAGGCGCGGCATTTGAGTTCTTCTGACAGTTTTCTCAGACCGTCGATAGTCAGCATCAGCAGTTGCTCATGACCAGGTGGTAGATGGCAGTATGCGAACACTCCACGAGTTTCTGTTTCATATATTAGCGTCTTGGAATTCACCAATGCCATTTCAGCTCGTCGGTTAACTCCAATGTCATAGCTATTGTCTTTGGTTAATAAGTATTTCAAGATAATTGAATGGTCGACCTTGTCTATCACTGTATTATCCAGTTGTTAGTCTTGACGGGAGCTTTCTTAACGTTGGCTTTTAGCCCTACAATCTATATTTCAAATTCTGCTTGATGGTTGGGGCTGCATCGCTGACCAATGTTTGTGTAGCAGCGCGCCGAGCGGGTCTGCTGCGATGACGGTCCTTCGTTCAGCCCCTTGATGGTTATCTGCATGTGAAGACGAGACTCACACCTGCGTACAACTTTACTGAACGTTAATAATTACAAACCGTTGACACTACACAGGTCATACGACAAAGTCCTTTTCTTCGACGCACTAACTCCTTTATAACTAGGTTCTTTGAACGTTACAGCCAATCCGTGTTCACTACGAGCATCTTTCCTATCTAGCGCTTGATGGTAGATATGTGGAAACATTGCTTTCTGCAAGGCTGGCATGACCTGCTGCACTGAAATGACTTAAGATCGTGTTAAGCAATGAAGGAGAAGCATTTCACCTTCATTGACTTGATTTCATGATCTAGCTGAATTGTTCACAGCCATATATGAAGATCAAATAAATATTTTTTACGGGTTAGAATCACGAATTGTCAAATAACTTGAAAATAGCAAAATCCTAATGTTGGTGTGGAACAGAAAGGTATCGTTCGAAGCGTTCAGTGAGTAAATGCTGGCATTTGTCTTGAATGAAGGAAGACAGTACAAAAACAAGGTTGGGATCGAATGTTTATACCCTATTGAGAATGGCCTAAGATTCTTACTTTTCAGCATAAATGGATCATAAGTGGATTAAATAAAAGGCAACAATAGGACAGAAAAACAAATTGTGACTTCATTTGTTGCAGCCGACCTATTCTTCTTGTTTCATCTTATGGCATAACTGCGGTCAAATGTTTTGTATCACCAGCTGCAGTTTGCGGCCCTGATAGCTGTTCCACTCTGTCCTGAGTGACCACATGAATTAGAT